TTTTTTAGATAATGTTGTCAATACTTCTAGCCAACACAAAGTTTCAGTTAAAATAACTTAATCGCCTTTTTGCAGTAAATAATACTCAACAACAAAACTAAATCTTTTCAGGTAATGATGCAAGCAGTTACACATATAAAGGTACTGATTACAAAAAACAAAAATTTTTATTTTCTGCAACAGTTTTACCCCAACGATAATAAGTTAGTTACAAATACCAGGTCTTTTCTAAGAGTGTAGTTTAACCGATTAAATTCATAGTTCTCGTGATATATTTATGACATATTTATTTTTGAGTTGATTAACACTTGTTTAGGAGTTATTTAAACTTATGTATTTTATTGAAATTAACATAATTTTCTTGTAACATTAATTATATTATTATACTAAAATATAAAAAAAATATTATTTAACATTCTTATTTGTGTAGAATCTTTTAACAAATTAATGTTTATTAAATTTTTTGAAATTTTAAGATTTTAATTATTATAATTATAATTTATGTTATAAACATTAGGAAGTTTATGTAATTTTTTATAAATTTTTAACTGTGTAGCATACAACATTTTATCTTTAAGGTACAATTATATTGGTTATACAATACATAAAATATACAATTATTAAAACTAGAAATTGAGGTTAGATAGATCTGACAGAAGTAATTTTTTCCTGGTCCACAATGTGTCAGTTCGGACACAGTGGCGGACACAGTGCCTCATCATAGGGAATTAAAAAATTAAGTATAATTTAAATATTTTACTTTCTATAATATACTATAAATTTTTAATATTTGGATTACATGAATTGTGAAATAGTCAATAAAATTGATTGATTTTATACGTGGAATACCCAGCAACATTTAAGTTATTTGAATTTGAAACGACCGCAATTTAAACTAATATTTATAGCTAGATGATTGGCTCAGAAGCATGCCTGAACTAATTTAGACTCACGATTGGTGTTAGCCTTGTTGTCTCGTTCTATTACAATGCGATATCATAGTTGTCTCCTTCTCTCGTATTAGCATACGCAAGGCAGGCACGCCTACATCCAAGAAAATAAGCAGGTGTTGTGGAAACACTGTTGCGGAATTTTAGATAAATTATACTTCAGACGTTTTTTAAAATTTAATAATAAATGGTATTATTTTTTTTATAATAAATCGATTTAATCGAAATTATATTTCTATTCTAAAATAAACATATTTTAACACTATCGCCATCTTGTAGCCATCACAGTAACCAATAAAATAAATACAGATTCCTTCTTTAGGTTTGTTTTGGTTATAAAATTCTGAACTGTTTAAGGAACAAATCTGTGGTTATTTACGCAATATTTTGTTTATTCTTTTTCTATGAGTTTGTCTATTTTATGATTCTTTTGTAAGTGGTTTATTCTGTGGCTTTAGTTAATTGAACGGTGAGAAATTGTACCGATATTTTTTACTTAGTTTTAAGTATAGGTTGTGAACTGCGACGTCAGTTTTTTTAAGTTGGGTTTAAAAAGATTTCTTCGCCTTTAAATGAGGGCGAAACCCTGCCTCTGCCTCACCAAAATGAAATGTCACGGGCCGCCACTGTTCGGACATCATTATCGGTAAACCTGAAAGTTATTAAGAAATAGTCTTCCTCATAAAAATATCTTAATAAACTTCTTTGAAAATTTTTATATTTAAACTTATCAGAAATTAGATTAGTTTCATTGATGTCTACCCACTTTAAAAGAATTTTAAACTTTCGGGATAACGAGTTTTAAAGTTTCCTCGTAAATATTTTTTAGCATTTATACTAAGCTCTCATATTTTGTGCCATCTTCATTCAATTTCAGTTGTGATTCGAATTATTTCGAAAAGCTATTTGGATTAAAATTAAAGAACTTGTTGAGTTTGATTGGAATTTACATTTTGTTTGGCAAAAAAATAAATCGAAACAGTCAAAAACAAAGTTTAATTTAAATTTTCAAGTATAAAACTAGGAATTTTATTTGTCATTAAAAAAAGATTAAAAACAAATTTATTTCCAAAAACGGTTTGATTATGTTTCAAAAAAATTAATGAAAAAAAAATAGTATAATTGATTTTATTTTGTTCAAATGAATAATAGTTATTTATGTCATTAGGTTAAGAAGTAAGGCTTTTTGTGCTAAGCTCAAGGTTGAGCGAAGCACAAAAAGGCACTTCTTGGCCGAATGGCATACAACATTTTATCTTCAAAGCACTTTATATAGGTCAATTTAATTCAACATTAAAGCGGCCTAACCTCACTTTTTTAGAATCTTATTTATTTATTAGCTAAAGATTACATTAAATGTACAATAATTATTATTGCTTTTGAAAGCAGTAATAGTTTGACAATACCTAGCTACATGATTTAAGTAGAAATGGTTTTTTGCTATTACATTGAATTCAATTAATTGTTTAATAAATAGGTAGGAATCTAATTTCAATTTATATGGATTTTTATTTAAAAAATAGGTAGTTTGGAATGTTTAAGCTGTGTTTAACATTTAATTTAACTGAAACCTTAAATCAAATAAAAACTTAAAGATAATTTAAATTGTAGAAAAAGAATCGTGCGTTTTCTTGGTTGCCTAATCTCACTTTTTGTTTTATTATTCATATTTAATTTTACAATAATTTAATGAAAAATATTAAACATTAACAGTAAAACAAACAAATTAGTGCTTATTATAAATAAATTAAACCAGTTTAGTACGTTAATTTCTTAGAAAACGATTAATTTGTCAAAACAATACCCCTAGCGAGAAAAAATCGAACTAATTACTTGCCTCATAAAATTTTTTATCGGCCTAGGCCATAACAAGGTATTTCTTTATCGAATGTTGACAACAATAATGTTTAAATTATAGACCGCGTGGAGATAAAAGGTATTATTTATTACCTTATTGTTTAACATATTATGTTTATGATTATAATGATTACAGCAGATACAAGAGATGTCTTTGGATTACTGTATATTTTTATATATTGTGGGCTTACTGCCAAATGTGACCAAGTCAGAAATTTGATTACTTGAGTTAAAAGACCAAATCTCTAAAAATAGTGTTTTGTAAAACCAAAAAAAGTTATAAAGAGAAATATTAGGTTTTTGTTAATTAAATAATCAGTATTGGGTGAATATAATATATTCATAGATATTATCTATTATTCAGTGAAAATGATTATTTTTTATTTTTGGTTGTTTCACTGTTAGTCTAGAATGGGATTTTTGGGAAGCCACCAGGTCTAGTAATAACATAACATAAGTGGTTCTGCACTAATGTAAGAATTTTATGAAATCAAACATTTTGAATATTAGAGCTTCACGGAGGATATGATTTCGTATGTTTTTTTTAAACATCCCTTTGTATATTTGAAATAAGTTATTGTACCTTTTGACACCTTAATATTTTTTAAAAATACAATTGTACATACAAAAAATATTTATAAAACAAATCTACCTACTGAGATATTGCACTTCACGGTGGATAGGTTTTTAAATAGCAAATTAATGAACTTAAACTTTTGAATTATACAACAGCAACACTCTCATCTGCATATAAATTCTAACTGACCTTCAGGAATCACATGCATCTATAATGCCGTAAACAGAGGTTTTTTCTTATTTAAAATGATTAAAGCGCCATCCGTTGCATAAAATTTAAAGCAAAAACAGATTCAGGGATAGTATCAATTTTTGTAACTTATACATAAATGGTTATAAAAATTACTTAGTTCTTTTATTTTTTAATAATATTTTATATTTGATTCAATTGTTTTGGATGTGTATAATTTACTTAGTGAACTGATATTTTTAGTATGCACTGAAGGGTAACTATTACCTTGTGAAAGTTAATATTATTATTTCTTTTTCTTTGTGTATCCCCTATTTTTTTTTGTTAAATAGGTATAAAGAATCCGAATAACAAAAACAACAGATTTCTGGTAATATATTATAAATACTCTGGACAGTTGTTACCAACACGTTACGAATTAGAATAAAGTATGCAGAAACATAAGTTGCAGACGCTGAAGTCGGTTGAACTTGTTGATGCGTATTGTCAGTGGGAAATATTTTGATTGACTGCCTGAAATCACGTGTACTTTTTTTAACGAAATAATTTGTTAAAAATTACAAAATAATTAAACCCTGGTTTTTTACAAAAAATTAGCAAGCTACAAACTTATGCATAAGTATAATGCTGATTACCATAATTATAATACCCTTTACTATAATTTATATTACTATTTGGGACAACTATCTTGTATATTACCAGATACTATGCATATTTAGTAATTATTAAATATCCATGTATGTTGTTAAACCTTAAGATAAAATATTATTATTCTCAACTAATTTTGTTTTTAATTCTTATTATAATTAGATTTTTTCCATTACTAATAAGTATAGTAAATTTTAAAATATTATGTTGCCATTTTAAATATAAAATATTTTAAAATCGAATATTTTTATATGTTAACAATTAAAAATTGTAACATATTTATTGTACTTTTTAATATACAAAAATGTTATGAGAAAGAATTGAACCTACACCTCGCCAAAGTTTTTTGTTTTGAGTGCGTTCCATCAACTTCAAATACCGACAGACAGGTGTTTTGACCTATATTGGGTATCATCAGTGTCGACACGACACTGTCGAGCAACTTGTAGTAGTGGAACACACCCAAAACAAAGAAATACCTAAGCTTATATAATATGGTTGGTAAGCCAACAGAGGCGAGATGTAAGAAAATCACGTGATCCACACCGTCTAACGACGATATATATATATATATATATATATAATATTGTTACCCTAAAAATTTGTTAAAGTAAATTTTACTATATTTTTTTTACTATCTAAAATTTACTATACATTTCTCTCCGAGTGTTAACAAATCTTATTATTATAAGCGTGTAAGGCAACGCATCCAGCATCACCGGCGGCGGCGGCGGGATCTCGTACCGTCGCAGCCGAAATCGGCCGCCTTCAGGCCCGATGCTGCGCCGCCGCCCGCCGTCGGCGGCGGCGGTGGTGGGGGTTGGACCCGGGCGCGATCGCCTCCCCCACAGTCTCCATCGCGATATCGCGTCCTCCACTTCTCTGCCGCTGCAGCCGCCCGAATCGCCGCCGCTTTACGCCGCCAACCGACGTGACCATCCACGAGTGACGGTTCCGTCGCGGTCAAGTGTGCGCCCGTTAAAAGGGTAACCGTATTTTCTGTGAGCACTTGGATTTATTATCATTATTATCATCAAGATTGCTGAGTTGTTGATTGTTTTTGTTTTTTAACATTGGTGTCAGTGTGTTTATGTGCTGTTTTTTAATGGATTTAATAGGGATGACAGCTGAACTGAGCCGGCGCTAGGATTTTTATGTTCAAGTAAATATCTATTTTTTTACTAACACATACTTTAATTAATCGTTTATTATACATTTCCTAACTGTACCTATTGTAATAAAATCCATTATGATTCAAATTTTTTGTATCGATACAAATTTTTAACCAATAGAAATGCGATATACTTCCCCTCTGACAGATCTAATATTTATCAAGACTTTTTTAAAAGTTTAAATAAGTAAATTGAAAATTTAACCCCGCCAGAAATTGGAACAGGTCGCAAAAGTACACATTGACAAGTTGTGGCTTAATGGCGCTTTAGTCACGGGCTAAAGTTAGCAACAGGTTTTTAGTTACGGGCTGAAGTTAGTTTTAGGTTACTTGACAGTTGTCATACAATCGTTGAAACAAAGTGCCTTTCTTGTAAACTAGGTACTAATAACTGTGAAGATTATTTTAATATCTTATATTTGAATTATATGAACATTTGGACTGACCTTTTTATTTCGCCGTATCAGTTCAATAAACTAGATTTAATTGAAAAAAATCAAAGAATAAAATATTTTCTTTTTATATTTTAATATTTAGTATCAATGATTGTTAACTTTAATTAAAATAGTAACGGACAATGTTAATGGTGAAAAATATGTCAAAAATGTTTATTGCGATGGTTATTTTATTTACGTTTAGATGTCGCTTTATACAAATATTTAATTTAAATTATTCTTTAGATCATATTAAGTATTTATCGTAAAAAAAGTATAGTATGCATCTCGTTTATAAACTTTTCTAGCTACTCATTTAATTAACACTCGCTCGCAAGCTCGCTCGTACTATTAGAGTTCGATAAAACATAATTTTTTGTAATGATTAATTACACTAGTTTACAGCCATTTTGCCCACCATGTCTCACTATGATTTTCTTGTGTAGTTTGGCTCACTAAACGCGAAAATCACACTTACAACTATACAAGAGAAAGTTGTAGAGGGCTCAATTACCTTTGATTTAAGTGCTTGTTTGGTCAAATCGATCAATTAGAACTCGAAGTACTCTAAAACTTCAAAACCCCTTAAATTAAATAAAAAACAATTGAAAATTCATATCTCGAAAACGCTTCCATAAAAAAAATAAATTGAGTGTGAGTTTCGTGTTTTGTGGGGTCAAAATATATGGGAAAATTATAATGGGATATGGTGGGCAGAATTTTTTTTCGATATTGTAAACTAGACTAACACTAAGTGTTATTATAATGTTTTAAAGTTTAGCTTTTATTAATTAAATTAATTAATCAAATCCTCAGTTTTCGAGATAGAGAGTGTTTAAAATAATTAATTTGAACACTCTATATCTCAAAAACTATAGGTATATACTAGTGAAATGCTCAAATTTCTGTTGTAAGTTCGAAAAAAAAGTTTAGTTGTAGCTTATAACATTAATATTAGGTACTTTTTTTTCGTTAAAAATACACTTTTAATTTCTCTTTTTAAAATTCTATATTTCAACGGCATTTTATGCTACAGTTTCGTTTAAAAATGAGTTTTACTAAGAATAACATTTAACTTTTGTATAAAATTCTTGTTTTCTTGATGTTATTTTATTAATGAGTACATGAGTAAATAACAAACTTATGGGAAATTAATAGTTGACAGTTGTCAAATGTCATAAAATCCTTAAAATAAATGCCTTTGTGAACTATTATTGACACAATTATTTTATTATCTTAATACAAAAATACCTATTTAAAAAGTAAAGTGCCCATAAAACATTCTCTTCACTTTCACTGTGAAAAACTGCTTCTATAGCTCGCTCGTGCCTAATTAAAATCCGTGACTAAAATAGCGTTTATCAAACTTAATACATATTGTAATATTAAACCAAATATCTTGGTTTAATATTTCCCGATGCTTTGACTTATTTGTGATTGAACCTCTACGATGACGAAAGAATCCCTTACCTACTTCAAATTTTCAATACAGGGACTTTGTAACAAAGTTTAAGGCGGGAGTTTCTAACTAAACACTGTTATGTACTACAGTTTCTGTTTAAATAGGTATTATTCAAACCAAAAACAAACTATGAAATCCAAATAGGTACAAAATGGATGCCAGAAAACTTGTTTGACAAAATAATTAAACTTATAATCCACATACTTGTATAAAGTGCTTAAAATTCAAATTCAACCAAAGCAATATATAGTTTCCCAAAAGGCAAATATTATATTGATAACATTAAAAAAATGTTTAGTAAACTAATTATTTTTATTATTTAAATGGGCTTGGTCCAATAGTATGTATTGCTTTATTCAAAAGCTTCTGATCTTCACTGATACTACCAGCGTTGTTAGTATTTAAGCTAAAATTCCCCTCACCACAAAGGCCTTTTGATTTTTATTTATTGACACAACAACAATTAAAATCAAGGACCCTCGTAGTGAGGGGAGTTCAAGCCTAAATATTGGCATCGTTGAAAACTGGAAGATTGACTGAAAAAAAGGTTTACAAAAAATATTTAAATAAAATAAGACATTTATAATATGAATAATTTTCATAGCTTTTGAACCTGGTTGAAAGAAAAAACATTCAAGAGATTTTGTATTTGTTTTCAAGAGAACTTATTCTTCCACTAAGAACTTTTTTCTTTAAGCAATAATTTTATTCTAAAATATTGTTTCTTGCCGGTCTGTATGTCAATAATAACATCATTATTTATATTCCTGTCAAACTAAAGGTACAATATCAGATTACATTAAGTGTTTGAATAAAAGATTGTTTTTCTTTGGGGTGAGAGCTAATATTAGGGTCTCATAGCCATACTTATAGGTATAGTTTATCCGACGTAAATATCTTTTTATGTTGATTTATTCCGTAATCCTTAAACTATATTCTAAATAACCTTATTTCCCTTTTGGATTGAAAAATGATATATCAACATTGCTGTCGTTTAGCCCCTTTATTTATGGCTGTTAACTGTCGTCAATTTCGCATCATCAAATTATATAGTTGTGCACGTAGTAAATTTAGCACAACAAATTAGAGGGTAAAAAATTGTAAGAGGCTCTAACAGAGCTTTATGAATGGAATATGAATGTTTTCTAAAATATTTTTAATATAATAAATATTTATGTATTATTATATTGTTAAAAATGCGTTTAAAAAGTCATTTTGAGAAAATTATTTTATCCTTTTTTTATTACAAAAATTGCAAAATATTTTTATAAAGTATTCTTACACGTGAAAAGTTAATAGTATATTATGTATCAAGTTTGATAAACGCCATTTTATACATGAATTTAAATTAATGAGTTTATAAACGATGTGCATACTATACTTTTTCCACTAAAAATACTTATTATTATCTTAAAATGATTTAAATCAAAAATTTGTATACAGCGTCATCTATGAAACAATAGGGGAAACTGTGTGTCACCGTCAAATGTCAAATTTTTATATTTTATAAACACAGATTATAAAGGTTATAAATCGAAATGTATTTCTTGAAAATTAACAGTTTTTCACAGTGAAAGTAAAGAAAATGTTTTATGAGGACTTTATAGTAGAGTCCGTGCCCGAATTTAAGTTATAGTTTACTGCCGGCGAAATTAAAAGGTCAGTACAATTTTCATATAAACTTTTCAAATATGGCATTTTATTTTAACGATTGTATGACATTTGAGAACTGTCAACTAACTTAAAACCAACTTCAGCCCGTGACTAAAAACCTGTTGCTAACTTCAGCCCGTGACTAAAGCGCCGTAAAGCTACAACTTGTCAATGTGTATTTAAAAGGTCACTTAGTGTCATGGAAACATGTTCGATAAAGGGCGTTTTAAAGGTGGGAGTAGAAAAAATAAATTATTTATTAGGTGTTAGGTCATGATACATTTTTAACCGAAAATTCTAAAAAAAAGGTCAATGATATAAAAAAACTAATATAAACGTTTTGCTTTTGTATGAATAAATTCAAAAGGTTTATAATATTTTTAATAAAAATCCAATAAAAATTCAATTCTTAGTTACCTACATCATAAATAAATAGAATATCACAAAAAAAAATAACAAAAAGTTACATAAAGTCTAAAAATCACTTCTCAGAACAGCACCCTGTATATTTTGATGAATATGAATTTTACCCAAAAAATCCTAAAAACATTTTCTGAAGCCAATTTAAAATATTTTTAATCGACTTTAATACATTTTGCTGGTTAATAGTAAAGCCAATATAGTATTTAATTGAAATTTGCCTTTAAAATGCCAAAATCAATAAAAACTATTAAAATAAAAACCACTACGTGCCACATTCATGAAACATGTAATTAGAATCGTTGAATAAAACTGCGTTACTTTTAATTTAAATTGGTGGCATGACCAAAGGGAGTTATAACCTTTAATAATAATTATAGTAGCAGTTGCAATGATGTAATTAGTATTTAGATTTTAGTTTATATGAATAAAATTATTTAAAAACAAATCGGGAATAGCGAGCTTTTCATGGTTATAAAAGATAGAAACATTACATTTAAAAATAATATATACGTATTTTATTTTAAAATTTAACGAATTTGTAAATCAATTACATATATGTAATTAATTAACATATTCGTTAAAAACAATATTAATTAAGGTAATAAAACCAGATCATTTTATTTAAAACATAAAATTATGTTAATAATATTAATGGTTACTATAAATTAATTAAACAGTGTGGTTTTGACTTATTGAACAAAATTCGTTATTTGATGAGAAAGGATTTTTTTGAAAAACGCTCGTAAAAACATTTTGAACAATCCGGAAAGTTTTTTTTACTTCTAGTCTAACTTTTTGCTTTTAATATTTATTGTTAACTCATAACTCACTAATGAGTTATGGATTATAACACGTTCATATTTAAAGTAGTATTCTATTTATTTATTACTATTACAAGCAGAATTCACATTGATATTGAAATTAAAGGAAAACGCTAACGGTTTATTCGAATTTGAAGTCATTGTAAAATTCGTTGGTTCATTGGAACCAGACGCTCCCATATCGGTACAGCTGCCGAT